CCCCAAAACCCCAAAACCCCAAAACCCCAAAACCCCAAAACCCCTTTCCATTATAGCAATGTTGAACTTTAATAATCTTTGAAGGATTATAATATTCAACTTAATATTTTAAGTTCAAAAATGAGAGAAATGACAGAAAATTATAATAGGTTTCTTTTATAGGATTTACAAAAACGAAGAAGATAATGATAAGCTTCATTCTAACTTTTTACAGGTATACAAAAAGCAGTATAGAGTTCACCGTTTCTCGGACTTATACATCGGAGGTATAATAATTTCTATCTCTTAGATCAAATAGTACACTCCTGACTGGCTAACAACCAACTTTGCGTTTGATATCCTCTCAACCTCAGTGGTTTATTCTAGAATGCTTGCAAGGACGTGTTCTATATCTCCAAAGTCTCTTACAATACCATGTCTAATGCCCAAATGTAATTTATATTATTAATAAATCCTCGCCATGAAGTCATACGGAACCTTAATGAAACTGTCAAAAACCCGTAAACAGCTCAAATGTTGAAACCAGAGTATCTCATATAAGAAATAAAATCTAGAAAGCCAAAAGCGTTCTCTTTTCTTAGGTTTTCTATAACAATCCAAGCTTTATAAAGCATCGTCAGCTTTACAAAATTGAAATTATGCATAATTAGATTTTATTAACACAGCAAATTAAGTCTATAGAGTTCTATTTTAGGCTGGCAATTTCATTATATAAAATTTCTAGAAAATATGTCAGCAGATTCTTACTTTTACTCAAATTTTAGCAAAAATGTTGGCTTTCAAATTTTACATAAAGAAAACGAGAGATAGAAAATTAGGGGGTGGCCAGTATGAATAATTCGATATTAGCATATTATTGCTCAAATCTCTTCTAAATTAACGAAACCGTCTTACTAATTTTACATTGTGGTGACTCGACTAAATTTAAAAAAGTTGACAATGAGGACATAGTGCTCTAGATCCTTTACCAATTTTCCCAAGATAGCCAAAATTTTATGTGAAATTTATTACAAGAGACTTAAATTAGAAAGCTTAGCAGGCTAACCTAGCCAAAGCTTTTAGTTTTAACGGATCACCTTGAGGAGTTCGAATGAAGGTACTTCTCTAAGGTCTGATAATATTTTAGTTCCTTCGCGGAGTGTGGAAGTAGTCTTTTCAAACACTCTCCTGCCCTTAGGAAGCTTAGTCATATCTTTCTTGGATTCTTTGAAATCAAAATCAATATCAAGCTCATTGTCGATTCATTTAATCATAGGATCCATAGCAGAGAATCGCTGGTAATAGACGGTCTTCTTTCACACAAAATCGCATAGATCCTTGGGCTTGAGTTTTCCTTTGTTGTTTTTCAAAGTGTTTTTGAACTGTCTAGTATAGTTTATGGTCTGAGGGGCTTTACATTCGCTTCTCTCCTCACTTATCTCCACGTCGCTGTCGGCCCAAATATCTTTATTTGGGGCATTGTAATCTCACTTAAGTTTTTGAATATTTTTCATTTAAAATAAAAATAGGATTATCACTCAACTTTTTATCCCTATTTAGGGGTTTTGGGGTTTTGGGGTTTTGGGGTTTTGGGGTTTTGGGG